TTTTCAACCCATAGTTTCTTTTTTTTCTTCATCATCTATCAGATGATTTAACGTCCAGTTTGTTTGGATCCTCCTTTCTGTCACACGTTTATTACAATCTCAAGCTTAAAGCAGTAATTTTGCAAGAGAGAAAGCTAATTTAGCATATTTCTGAACATAACTGCACTTATTCAGACCTTACTGCACTGAATGCCGTGCCCTGAACAATCACACACCCTATTGTTTCTTATCAGCGTCTTTATAGTTTCCCTCTGTCAACACTTTATAACAACTCTGTAATTATGTTATTGATTTGTCTGATTGCAAAACCAGTGTGTCCTAAATTATTTCAACACTTTCAACTGTAAGCGCTGCAGTGAGGCTGCAGTGTGTGATCACCACCGAATGATGAGGGAGGCTTCAGATAAAATATGGCCACTAATAAAATGAAAATGAAAACACATAAAAAAACTTGTAGTGACAAAATAAATAAAACAAACCCACAAACTTTGCCTCCAAAATATCCTTGAGGCTAACCGTCAGTCAATCTGTTGGCTTTTGAATATGAAGTAGATTCAGTGGCACAAATAAAAATCTGTTTTTTTGGTTGTTGTTTTTTTTTCTCCAGTGTTTTCTTGACCCTGCCTGATACATTTTCAACCGTATATATGAACCTGTGTGTATTTAAGTGTCGAGTTTCCTCACCTCGCACCACGATGGTGGTGGACTTCTTGGCCGGGTTTCCCACGTTGTTGCTGGCCACACAGCTGTAAACGCCCGCCTCCTCTGAGGTGATGGCCGGCAGAGTGAGCGTCCCACCGTTGACCACGCTCCTCTGCGGGAGGCTGTCGTTGGTGCTGACCCAGGTGAGTATGGGTGGAGGCTCTCCACCTGTGGTGATGCACACCAAAGACACCGTCTGACCGGGATTCACCACGATAGGATCCTCCACCAGCAGCTTGATGGAAGGGGAGGCTGTGGAGGAGAAGAGAAATAGACGTCTGAGAAAAAAAAGTGGACGACTTTGGCAGTTATGACAGTTGGAGTGTGAGTTTGCAGAGGAATCGCAGACCATATTATCTGCCTATATTTAAAATGGCCCCCTGATAGAATATTCCACATACAGTAAGTTTATATAATTCTATGCTCAATATGGAAACCAGGTTGTCCCACCTGTCTTGTTGGTGAGTCTGAAGACGACGTTGCGGTCAGGGATCCCACACACGTTCCTGACTGAGGCGATGCAGCTGTAGTTTGCGTAGTCCTGCGGGCGGAGGTTCTTCAGCTTCAGAATCTTTGTTTCCCCCTGCAGCTCAGACCAAAGCAACACTGGTATGCAAATGTGTGCAAAGACATCGACAACAACATCTACAAGAAGTGCGTGAGAGTCAGGAAAATGTCAAGAGCAGATACCAAGAATGAATCATCCGAAAAAGCCAAGAAGGAGATACTGTATGATCACATATTTCATTGCAAAAAAAAAACAACAAAAATGAATCTGGATATGATTAAATTCTGGGTAATTATTATTTCAGATTGCTTCATAGTGACAGGGTTGCAGTAAAGTCAACGATCTTGCAGTATTCTGCCACATATTTAGCTAAAGAAAACTAAATATTGCTGCAGAAAATATACAAAACTATTGAGGAAGTGAGGGATAAATATCTGATTTCTGAATTTACCCTTACCCTAAAACATCCCATAATTCATAGCAGGGTGCTGTAGAATTCAGCAGAGGCACTTGTTTACTCACATTCCACTCCTGCAGTGTAAACCCCTGTGTTTGATGATGTTGATAAATGACTTAAACGTTACCGGAGGCTACAGCTGACGTTGGCTGCAAATCGTGAACTCGTCTGTATTAGGCCTCTCTGTGGATGAGCTCCACCTACAAGCGCTGACAAGAATGTGAATGTCTGACCTAATTAGCAGCAGTGTGGGCGTAGGGCAGAGATGGGTGTCCAACAAGTTAGAACACGAGTCGGCCTCACGCTCTGCCCAGTTCTCATAACATGGCAATGACTTGACTCGTGTCTTTCAGAGGTGATCACACACACCGTGGCTGAAATGATAAGTTAATTGTATGTGATCAGCCGTGCAGCCCACACCGTCACTGTCTTTCTTCCCTCATCTTCATCTGTCATCTTCTCTGCTTTAGAACAGACATCAGGAGATGAGCTCTAAGATATTCAGGCTTTACTCACAGCAGGGGGCCGAGCACAGTGGACTGTACCATACAGTACGTGTGCGTGTGTGATGGCTGTACTGTAAAGTGTATATGATGTATTGAGAGCAGTCAGGAAGGAAAATCTATTTAGAAAACTAGAAAAAATGAGTGCCAGAGAAAGAACCGGAAGGACAAACAGAAAAATCCTATATTTATGACATGTTGATATCAATATCGATTAGAGAAACAACATCTTTGGGCACATGATATATAGCCGTGACACTGAGGGTGGCGAGGAAAACAGGGGGATTATTGCTACTGTCAAGTGAAAATAATTTATCTGCAGCTCTGTTTTAATGATGTTTATCATAGGAAACAAAACATGAATCTTTGTCTATGGTTAGAGAGGTGTGAAACTTTGGAGGTGAACTGAGGCTATTTCTTTTAATATAATAAATAAAACAAAAAACACTAGGGAAGAAAATGAGTGATAAATACAAAGTGAATCATGAAGCTGCCACAAAGAGCTAAAAAAAACCTGGTTTGTGCAACTCAGTGTTGCTACAGAGACTGGCCTTGAAAAAGGTTTGACCCTCCGGATAAAAACAAAATGTTAAAATAGAACATCATTCAAGGATATAATATAAATATATATATATATATGACAGGATGAAATATTATTTCACCTGTTCTCTATCCTACAGATCCACAAGTTCTTCAAATACATACAGTATTTCTGGGTTTAAAACCATGTTGCCTCTGCCTTACCTGTGTGAAAAAAGGTTCGTAGATCTCAACGCCCTTGTCTGAGCCCTGGGTCAGGACCTCTCTCCCACGGTGCCAGCTGTAACGGACAGGCGGGTTGGAGTTGGCCACGCAACGGAGGAACACAGTCCTCTCGTAGTAGAACTGCTCCTTAGCTTCTCCTATGCTCTGGTGCACGGTCACCACTGGATCATCCAGGTCTGTAGAGGAGAAATCATCAAAATGAATCATTAAAATTTAATAATTTGCTGATTTGTACGAACCTTTAGAATTTAAAACAACAAAAAAAAGATTTTACTGAACACAACACTACATCACTAATCCATCAGCTAAGTGAATGCCTGGAAAGTAAATTGCTCGGAGTAAATGAAAACCCAAATCCATAACAATTCCATAACCTCCAGAGGCCAAAACAGACCGGAGATATTATTATTATTATTATTATTATTATTATTATTATTATTATTATTATTATTAACAGATGAATCCATTGTCTTTAACTCCAGGGCTGTCGCTCCACAGCCCTGGATTTGCTGAGGATCAACACCTAATCAAGGAGCCTGTGGCCCACAGAGTCCTACATCCAGTCTGAACCAGAGAATGCTGATTCCTTGGTTTTCATTAAACACATGTTCTGCCTTACAGCTCCTTAATCCAAATCTCACAGTGGTCAATACCTCATCCAGGATCCATTACAGTGTCCCAGGTAGAGGCAATTACCTTCGGGTTCAGGAAAAACAGCAGAGGTGGTGACAGAGCTTCACACGAGACGGAGTGATTGCAGGGCCATTAAGGAGGAGTAGATTGCACGAAATAAATACACTTATTTATTACAGGAGAAGCAAATTGTAAATCCTGCAGCACGTCTCTGACTTGTTTCCTGTGTGTTTCCTGCATCAAACGGTCAATTTACCAAGTGTGGCAGAAACGGGGTGATTCATTTGCAACCGTATCTACACTGGAAAAACACGGCCTGGCAGAAATGGGACTTTATTGTGGAGTGGAATACGTACCTGTGTATGTAGGCAAGGAGTGGATGTAGCTATTAATGTCACCAGATAGACACGCAAAAAGGAAGTGGATGGAAGACGCAGAGTGATACATATGTATGTACGGAAATGTACACACCTGATTAAAATTTGATGTATTTCAAACCTAATACCACCTTCATCGTGATTTTTTTCTCATGTAAGCATGCGCACGTGTGTGTGTTTGTGCGCGGGCGTGTACGTGCGCATGTCGCAATTAGCTCCTGAAGTCACGCTTGACTGATTGTAAAGCTTAAATCCCTGAGCCCAGAGGAAAAATGCGTCGTACAGGCTGCCTGCAACAGAGTTGTTAAGGTTTGTAATTGCAGGTTTACGGGTTTACAGGCTGGTAAATCTGCTCGTGTACGGCTAAACGCTTCGACGAGCTAACCTTAGCAACACTTCTGCTCAAGCTTGGCAGGTCTCAGAGCCCCAGGCTTCTCTGATATTAAGACGCAGGGGGGGCTGCAGTGTGATGCAGGCATGTGGAAACGGCAGACACGCTTCTTGTGTGACAAGGTTTTACAAAGACATACAGGGACACGCTTCTTGTGTGACAAGGTTTTAGAAAGACATACAGGAAAAAAAAAAAAAACAGCTTAAAGATGCTGATGTTTCTCTTTGAAAAGTGGAATGCAGATTCCTACTTCAGAGGACCAACAAAACATTTGTTGGACAAATAGGAACAAGTAAGAGGTTTGGATAAAAGAGAAAAAGAAGGTGCTTCATTATCACATCAAACCTTGGCTTCCTTCTTTCATGTATTCCAACCTTGTGCCAAAAAGCAGACACCTGCATAAAATCTCTCATTACCTGACTCCTCTTACCTATATGAGACACAGGCAATCACATACACACACCTTTTCTGACTGGCTGTCTCCTGGGTGTTTCTATTATGAGTTTTTCTATTTTTGCCTGACTTTGATGTCGGGAGAACGCCTATCAGGGTTCCACACTGTCAGCCTTGATTGAAAAAGACCTGAAGTTAATTTTACATAATTACTGTCCCAGCTTTATTACTAGGCAAATTACCAGCAGCTCACCTGAATAAGTAAACAGCTCTGTGATGTCAAAGATAAGCAATGTGCTTTATGTTCTTTTGCTAAAAGAAAAAGACACAAAGAGTGGGACTATTATTAGCAGAGAGAAAGGGGAACGAAGTCAGGAGGGAAAAATGAAAACACATAAATTGCTACCATCCAGATGCGGGGTTAATGAGGTGATGATGCTGCATAGCAGCTGTCTCCTAGTCTCATTCCAAATGAGGTCCACTTGCTCTCTTTGTAGGTATTTTTGCAGACATATGGTCATAAGGCAGCAGCGATTAAGTTATTACTTGGCAGCCTGCCCTGTGAAGGACCTCACCTTCAAATCTCTTTATAGAAGTCGGTCTAAAAGCAAATCAGTCAGAAGGGAAGACATCCTCCTTTAAATACCAAGCAATAAGGGGTGAACTTATCTACTTTAGTCTGCCCATCAAAGGTGTCTGTGCAGTCTAAAAAAGTTTTTCTTCTAAATGCCACTTTTATGCCAAACTACTGAATGGATTAAATCTTGAATTGAATTAGAAATTCTGATGTAGTGAGAGAACTATTGTTGTGCTACATTTTAGAAGAGTGACCCGGTCAAGACAAACACTTCCACAGTTAGGGACAGCAACATTATACACTACTACTCCTACTGCTAGAAATACAACTATTGTTCAACACAAAAAATAAACAAAAATGTGTCTTGCATGTCTCTAGATTGGTTTAGACAACACTCCAGTTCCTTTAGTTAGTCCTCTACTACAGCTAGCTGTATCTACAGTATGTACGGCTGCAGCTTCATACCGGAGAGTGATGATGGTGGTTATGGTGGATGGATGTGAGTGAGGACACAATGACTGTGAGCCATGTAACAGAGATATCTAAGTGAACTGAATATTATTTGCTTAAAAATTTGAAACGTGAACAGGAGCAGCTTTGGGTTCAGGTGCAGCACTCCTGTAGTGGAGACAAAGGGACGGAGGAGAATCCAGGGTGGGAGTTAATGCATCTCTGCTGAAAAATACTCCCGTGACTGGATGTGTCATAAAAAAGGTACCTGAGTTAATCTCACCTCATAATTAAAATGGAAATGTGTGATACAGCACTTGATGAATATCTTACACCGCACACCATACCATGACTGATTACCTGTGTCCAAGCTGCAGAGTAACGTGAGAGGAAAACCCGGAGAAGGCCGTTTGAATCAGCCCTCGGTGCCTGTGTTATATTCACTAACAAGATCACTGTGAATAACCCTATTAGGCTATCAATCTTCTGGTACTAGCTGTTGCTTTTGTAAAGGAATGTAACGACTACAGACTTTAACTGAAGTAGTTGTAACTGTCGTACTCCCCTGTAAGTTATTTTGATGCTAGGCGCATTATTTAGAAGAGGACAAAGCCGACACTTGTTTTATTTTTCTATGCAATTTGATTTTTTGTTTGTTTGGTTTTTTTTATTTTTGTTACTAACTCTCATGCCAGTACTGATCAATATTCCACCCTGATGCTAACCAATAGCTTTTCTGTACACATTCAGTGGATGTAACACTAGGTATACATCTGAGCTTTAGTTACTGTTTAAATAAGGCACTTGTTTAATGCACAAATCCTTCATCGCAACAACACAATATAAACAGACTGTAGAAAGCCACCCAGCAGTGACACATTTCTACACATGGCATTTCGAGTTGCCTTCAAAACCTCGGCTGAACAGCAGTGGGAATAAGTCATCGGTAAAAATAAGGCGTCAGGAAATGCGACGTTCTCCAGGTGTTCATGAGCTCACTAAAACCACAAGGCTATACCTCCGTTGAATCATTACTCCGTTCTATGGTTTCTGAAAGTCAGATTCGCAGACCAGACTCTTCATGGACTTCATTTTGTTAACAGTAACAGTTACATTTCAATCAATGTGCTGCTGCATTAGAAGAACCAAGTAATGTGAGTGTGACTGTGTTTGTGCCTGATCCTGCACATCATCATAGATAAACAAACCAATCCTAGCAGGCATTGTACAGCATCCACAGTTGTGAATTTACTTGTACGGCTGGTTGGCAGGACAGAATATGGTTTTAAATAGTGAAAAGGGAACGTGCATTTTCAGATCAAAAATGTTTAAGACTGTGTGTGTGTCTTAGCCAGGAACAAAGTGAAAAAAACAGTCTCTTGGAAGAGTTAGGGGAATGATTGTAAAGGGCAATAGACAGCCCCTGCCAGTGCTGCTGCCTGGCATGACTTGATGGTACTGTAAAACAAGTGCTGAATTATTCATTAGGCATTTTCACATCCCAGTTTTAATGTGAACCTACATTTCTGCTGAGGGGAGAATGTTGTTTTTTTATTTGTCGAAATCTCCTTGACTTGACTTTTCCAGCTCTCTTAAACACACACTACCTTCCCCTGTCTCACGTATAATAGTAGGTTACACACAGACCATTAAGGTAATGGTAACTAACTCCTTCCTTGGAAAAAAAAAACAGTCATCAGAACTGGTTAAGTGTAATCGCGGCCAATTAAACAAGCGAGGCGGAGGCAGTAAATGGAGCGGACGTGAAGGGTTTAGCATGCTGCATTGTTGTTAGCAGTGTAGACTAAATAGATGGAAATAGAAGATAATCGTACAGTAAAGTGGTTTTGTCTCCTTGGGCTATTGGCTGCTAATGTGTAAAAACAACTCAAATAATATTTGTGTGAATGTGAAGAAGGATTTTATTTATGCCATTATTTCTTTTTTTTATCGTTGTATTTTCTATGCAAACGCATGGGAGTAAAGAGTGGATGACATTTCCCTGCAGCCATTAGAACTCATCCAGCACTGTGACTGTGGAGTTAAAGCCTTTCTTAATAGGCTGAAGTCTGGCACCCACTCACAACTGCTGTACCTCCATCTTCCCCTGTGACACTGCTTTCCCCATGAGGCCGTGGACGCATGTCTGTAGGAGTGTGAAGGAGTGTGTGGTGCACACATACTGTAGGTGAACATTAATGAACAATGTGTGTAAATAATGGAAAGGCAGACGTGTGCAGCCCCAAGGAGGATACTGCAACACTTCACCTCTCCTTGATGGTAATGAAAAAATAACAGGGCCAGCTCCACTGTGTGCATGTTTGTGTGTGTAGAGTAAGGGTTATTAGTGGTGCATGTGTAGTAATGAGACGTCCCTCCGTCCTCTCCCTCAGACAGTGGCGTCAGCCTCAGCCCGTCCTCCGTCTAATTGATCTCTCCAGAAAACAAACGGGCCAAAGATCACTGGACTAAACAACAACACACAAACGAAGCATTGATTTTGTTGGAGATGCACCAGTGACATAATGGAGTTTTCTAATGACCTTGTCTTTTCTTTTGTCTGGACAAAAAGAAACAGAGGACGGAGATTTTTCTTTTTTCTTTTTTTTTTATGGCCCAAAAGCAATTACCTGAAAAATGGGCAATATTCATTCATACTCATGCCACACTGTCTACAACACTGGCAGAGCCTGACGATAAGTCATTTATGTTCCTGTTCCATTAATATGTTCCTACAGCAGCCCTAAGGACGTTTCTAGCAAGAAGTCTATTTGGACAGACAATGAATAATCTTGATTATTGGACTAAAACAAGTTAAATTAAAAGGATCAAGGAAGTTACTAATTAATTAAATGAGTAGAGACCAAAGTCATTTGCTAAAATAAATCCATGACCTGTGCAACTGAAATAAGATTGAAAAAAAAAATTATTAAGAAGAAAAACAAAAAAAAAAACACTTAACATGGAAAATGTTTTGAAACTTTTCAACTAAGGGTGGATTGTATTTAGTTATTACTTTCAAACAGTAATTACTAAGTTTTTTGTTAGTTGACCGAATTGATAAAAAGCTAAAACAGCTAAGGTTTGCTACTGCAACAATAATGTTGTATTACCTAAGCAGGATTTGGTTTTTGACTCTAACACTAACAGAGTTCACACTAAGACTTGATTCTACAGATCTGCAAAACTGTATTTATTTTAAAATAAATAAAAAATACTTTTAAAAGAAGGAACCAGGGCCTTAAATAAAAAGCTTATTTAACTGCAGTACTGTCAAAAAAGAGAAAACGAAGCCTAGCCTGTGGCCTTCAGGCCCTTAACCTTAAGAGGAAAACAATGGAAAACAAACAACGAGATAAGAATTAAATTCCAAAAGCTGCAATCACGTTAGCAATCACATTAGCATAAAGACAACACAACAAAAACGCCGTGGCCTGTTTTAAGCCCCTGATGAGGAGGCAGGGGAACAGGTTGACTTTGCCGCTCTGATTAAGGGCGGTTTTCCTACATCGAGTCCTTGAAAGAATAATGGGCAGTCGTGATCTGGCTTTACTTCCATTAACCACACCAGCAAACATTTACATAATGTACACATAACGTGCTGATTCATTCTATCCTGATTCAAACAAGACTCAGATAACTCAACCTGGCTGCATCCCCCCATTCATCACCTCGGGTCATTTACATCCAAAAGCACATAACAACAACTGCACGTCTGTCTCCGATCCCATACCTTATCAATTCATTCCAAAGGACTTTAAAATCCATCACCTGGTGTGATGCATATATAGACTATATAAGTGACATTAGGACATTATTTTCTTAGGAAAACTAATACAAAAAGAGTTTTTCACCCTAAGTAAGTGTCTTACAGACTAAAGAAATTCAGAAAATCCACTTTGCTAAATTCCACCTCATTAGGAGAGGTGGTCTATTGAGTTACTCTTTATCTTCATCTTCTACGATTGACTCCTTTTTAGGTTCACAGGGAGCTGCAGCCTCCCAGCAGTTAGTGGGCACAGCCTGGATACAACAGCAGTTCATCACATGTTAGATAAACACAGGGAGAACATACAACCAAGCCAACCACCTACTACAAGTACTAACACCAATACCAATAATACTAATAATCGTAAGGTGACTATGACTACAACTGCTTAAAAGATTGTTATACTACTACTACTACTACTACTACTACTACTACAGGAATGTAATAATCTAGAAATTTAGGTTTTTATAATAGGAATAAATATCATCATTTTTAATATCACCATCATCATTCTGCATAATTCAAGCTACATGTCTTAATTTTTTAATAAATTACACATACATACATGAAAAAATATGATTTTCCTACATTTGATGCATCCATCAGCAAGAGGCATGTAGTGGGGTAAAAAAAGTCAACTAAAAGTAACACAGTCACTGAATCAGACTCATTATCTACTGAACTGCACGTCCAACGGAACCAGCTAAGTGTTCTCCAGAGATCACCATCTTCCACACAGAGTTCTGTATAAACAAAGAGCAATTACCTCGATTCTTTAGAAGAGTAGTATTCAAAAAAGTTCACATATAATATATATATATATGTGTGTGTGTGTGTGTGTGTGTACTTCAACCAGTGTGTTGTCCAGAACCAAATGCCTTCTCTTT